GCTTCGAATCAATTGAACCAGTTGCTTTGCAAAACGATTCACTGTTTCGAAGCCCTCGAAACACCACACAATGGTGATGCCTGCTGGTCAAAACTGTGTAAATGCAACAAAAACTCAGACCAAAATATGCATAAACATTTTACAAAACAAAACAAACAACAACAACAACAAAAAAAACGCTTACAAACCCATTGTCAATGTTTTATTTAAAGTATAATACATTAAATGCAATTAAAATAATAAAATACCATTTAATATGAAGTGTCTGTATAATGTTTTTTATTTTTCTAATTATTGTTATTTATTTACAGGGCTTGTTTGTTTTGTTTTATGGAGAGCTTGTCTAAACAGGCCAACAAGAGACTATTAACTACTTCTCATCCTTTTAATTACACAAAAGTATCATTAAAAATGTCTACAAATTGATAAAATTGATCCAAGATCAGGTAGAAACCATAAACACTGGTTCAATGGTTCGATCTTAATGAACTCGCATGATTCACGGGTTCTCAGAGATCATCTCCCCCCGTCGGCAAACCATTGAAATTTTGAAACGTTTCAAAACAGTTATGACGTAACAAAGCCTCGTTTACTGAAATCATATGACTTTGGCAGTTTGATATGCGCTCCAAACCACTGTTTAGAAACAAATGGTTAGCAAAGGTTTCGAAGCTTCACAAAGCAGTGCTTCAAAAACGCCCATCACTAGCCATTACTACTACCTGTTTCGGTGTCATGCTGGTATCTGGACCTCACATCATATTAATACATTAATACAAAAAAAAAAAAAATTACAATTCTAATTGTGTTAGCTAATGAATGTATCCAGGCTGAACAACCACCATGTAGAAAAAAGCTGAGAACAGACTAACTTGATGGAGAGAGAGAGAGCGAAAGAGAGAGAGAGAGAGAGTAAAACTATTTGCCATCACCTTGGCCACATTCTAGATTGTAGGGTGATTCCGCCTCTTGTCCTTGGAAACAACTCAAAATTACTGTGATTCTTTAAAAATGAATGAGTTATAATGTAAATTTTGTTGAAATGCAAACAGAAAGCAAATTGAGTGAAAGCATAATTTACACGTGTTTACCCCGTTAACATGCTGGGAGCCTATAACTATAAATCATTAGATATGTCTAAGGTTTTATTATAAAACATTAAATCATTATCATAAAAAAAAAAAAAGGGTAACTATAATTTCTTAATTTGTTGTCAGGAGCTAATGCATCCACTGAGAGAATTTCTAATTTCCAATTTCTTTAGAGAAAAGTGTTATTTTTCCTATTTTTACCCAAAATAGGGTGTTGTGAGCATTAGTGAGGACACACTGTTTCATTCATACTCGCCCTTGTGCAGAAACTCCTCGAGTGAGACTCACAAATATAATAGAGCTCATGACGATCCAGGAAATCCCTAATATGACCGAAGACATCCAGCTGTCTTGATTGGAAAAAAGTATGGACTCTGCCTTTTAAATACATAATAACTAACAAGGTTAAAGAAATCTCATTCAAATTGTTTCACAGATTTTACCCAGCTAAAGTGTTTCTGAAAAAGTGTAAATCAGACATACTGATATTCATATCTTCTGGGATTGTCCTCACACACAGCTATTTTGAATTTAATATTTTTATTTTATTAATCGCAACGTGCTCCCGAGTTTCTCTTTGTTTTTTAAGGATGTACTGTTCGGCTTCTTTAATATACAAAAATATCAAATTAATGAATACTTTATTATTAACCTATTATTACTTCTTGCAAAAATTCACATTCACCGCTGTAAATTCACTCTTTTATTATTTATTAGTTTAAAAAAAAGATGTTCAACAGTATACTATTTCATCTTCCAAGCTCTTAAAGCTCTTAAAACGTATTTCACCTTTTTAATTTATTTTGTTTAAGCTTTTGTTTTGCATTATTTATTTATTGTTATATTATATACGTGTATAAAAGGTGCTTTGCTTGTAATGTCACTTCTTTGTACGTACTTTTGATATTTTCTGTACTTATATTTTTGATACCTTGGCATTAATTACAAAAAATAAATAAATAAAAATCTTGAGCACCAGAGGCCCGTTTCAGAAATGAGGTTAATGAGTATGTTAACCCTGAAATGTGGGAAACTCTGGGTTTTCCATTTCAGAATGGAAGGTTTGTCAAACCCGAGAAAGCAGGGTAAGTCAAGCCCGTTTCTGAAAGAGAGGTAACTTATACTCGGAGTCAGTTATCATGGTAACTTACTCTGTGAACCTAACCTGGGCTGCGTTTCCCAAAAGCATCGTTAGCCAACTATGGTCGCAAGTTCCGTCATTACCAACATAGTTCAACGATTCGGTGTTCCCCGAAACCATAGTTCAAACGAAAATTCGCAAATAGCGTCGCAAACTTACTTGGTAGGAACTACAGCTCTCGACCTGTGGTTAGAAGCATAGTTTCTTGTTAACAAGGGATATGGGCTTAAATAAATATGCTCTTGGGCACAATAAGCAAGCTAGCATGCAGTACAATCTATATACTCCATTCTATTTAAATATAAATGCATTTTAATCTATGTATTTTTGCGCATCCTCTAAAAGCGCCGTTTTTGAAGAGTGCGCATGTGCATAAAGGGAAACAGAGTCTTTTCATACAAACGTTTTTTTTGTATGACGTAAGAGGGAACCCACGATGAATCAAACATCAAATAAAGCAAAATGACAGTTATCAGGTGCCATGTTCAATACAGCAGCATCTTAGAGATGTCTAATCTGTTAAATAGCAGAAGTTATTCCTCCACCACATGCGTGTGACGTCATTAACAATGGCCCTATGTTGTTGAACTAATGTGGTTCAAACGACGGAGATGCGACCGTGTTCTGGAAACAATCGTAACTAGCTAGTTAATTTCAACAACAATGCATCGTACTATCGTGGTTAATCAGCGAGTTACGTCATTGTATGGGAAACGCATCCCTAGTCAGGAGCAGGTTTTCTTCGTTAAACCTTAAACCATTCTTTCAGTCTCCTCCCCCTTTTTAAAGTGTAAGTAACGTTTAAATACTTCATTCATTAATTCATGCTGCAAAAATGCTCTTCTTACTATGTTGGAATCTAAATTAAGAGCATCTTACTTAAAACAAGAAAAATAATCTTAATGCAAATGGAAACAAGATAATTTTTTCCCCCAAATGGCAGATAATTTGCAAAATAAGAAAAATACACTTGAAAGACTAAATACTAAATATGCCATTTTTCTTATGTATTGACTCGGAAGGATGCAGACATCTTTTTATCGGGTGCTGTTGCCATGGTGAATCTCGAAGGTGAGTTTCTCGAAGGTGAATTTCGGAGCTCCATTGATAATGGCTTTTCATAGTCGTGGTGCATGCGCTAAACCATGAAACCATGTCAGATCACAAAAGAAGTTATTTAAAACATTCGACTGATGTTATTAAGTGAATTTGGACTAAAATCATGTCATTAAATGGTCTCTTTGTTGGACAACAGGTTTGTAAACAGGCTCACACACATTGCAAAACTGTATCGCACTCGTGCTACTGTGGTAAATTTATTCATCTGGGCCCTGGGAATGTCTCTGTCATGTCAACATCACTAACTCCCTCTGTCTCATCCATATCGTGAGCCATTCTTCTTGCTCCCTTCTGCCTTGCTCCCTGGGAGCTTCATAGACTAGCCTACATCTGTAGTGGTGATAGGAAATGATACGCCAATGAGGGGTCATGTTTTCGGTATTACATTAGGTTGAAAAAGGTGCGCAATAACAAGAAATAATCTTGATCATGCCACCAAATACAGGTTAAAACTAAAATAACAAGCCTGGGTTAAAAATGTAAGAAGTAGAAAGTACAGATATTTGTGTAAATAATGTAAGGATTGAAAGTAAATAGGTCTCAGAAAAACAAATAGTAAAGTACTGATATCAGAAAAATCTACTTAAGTACAGTAACTTGTTACTTCCCATCTCTGATCAATCAATCAATCAATCAATCAATCTATCTATCTATCTATCTATCTATCTATCCATCCATCCATCTCAATGTACATACCTGGGTTGTTGTTCTAGATCAACAAAGTGCTTCCATTGTTTTCACCTGGAACTATACATCAGTCACTTTTCATCTGGAAACACAGATGAGAAGGCTTTTGTTATGAGTTGGCAGTTTTGAACCTTTCAAGAAAAGCAGAAGATGCTTGGGCCAGTGGCCACTAGAGGCGGATAAAACTCAGGGGTGTCAAACTCAATTCCTGGAGGGCCAGAGCCCTGCAGAGTTTTGTTCCAACCCTGCTCCAACACACATACCATGTAGTGTTCAAATAAGCCTGAAGGACTTGATTCGTTGGATCAGGTGTGTTTAATTAGGGTTGAATCTAAACTCTCCAGGGCTCTGGCCCTCCAGGAATTGAGTTTGACAACCCTGGTTTAGGAGAACCTGGACTCTGTGATGACATCACACTATCACAGGGAGTTAACCCTGCTCTTCTAAATGGCTTTTGTAGCTTTTTGGCAATGTATTATGGGTTAATGACTGGAATGCAGGTCAGAGTAGAGTAAGGGAGCATGAATGTATTTTGTCCTTTGCAGCAGTATTTTCAAAATGAGAAAGTTTTGTGTTTTATTGCAACAGTGCAATAATTCCATGTCTATCAGCTATGTTTGAATTTTTGTAGTATGGATAAAACTAAATATTGTTACCTGTATTGCATTTCAGTGGGTTGCATGTTCTATTAAATAGTGGGTTAACATCATTAAGGAAGCTGATCAGCTGTAAGTTGCAGAAACATACAAAACTACTGCATCACTGCTGAAGTTGAACTTAGTGATGTACAAGATTTCTTCTTCTTCTTATTATTATTATTAGTAGTAGTAGTAGTAGAGTTTTTTCCCCCTAATTCGGCCCTGCATGGTACTGTACATATTGATTACATATATTTAGCTTTTTAGAATTACTTGGCAAAGGGTGAATTCTTAACAGTGATTATTTTTCTCTGTGTCTCTCAGGCTGAGAACCTGCAGGAGCAGTTAAAAGACAAAAACAAACAGTTGGACAGTTTGGGGGACAGAATGACGTCTCTGCAAGCCAACTCCAGCAACACGGACACAGCTCTCGTTACACTGGAAGAGGCTCTCTCTGAGAAGGTGCTGTATATATGTGAGAGAACAAGAAAAAGACCATCAGTGTGCTCATTTATTTACTGTCGGTTGTTATATCATACAAATAAACATCAGACACCATAAGGCAGGGGTGTCAGATCCTGCTCCCAGAGGGTCA